CATTACTTACTTGAACTTTTTGCTGGTCTTGTAACAAAGTGTAGTTCACACGCCTTAATTTCCCCAATATCGCTTACCGCAATCAGTCTCTCCCACCCTTTCGCCTCCGGCTGCTCGGTATTTGATTGAGTGCATCGGCGGCCTTTTTTGTCAACTAGCCTGCCTTGAGGCCTCTATTCTCACCTATGGCCAGGCATTTTGTCCTTTCATCACTGACTCCGGCGTCGGTGCATCTCACTCTGCTCATCCGAGACTGACGTGGCCTGATCTGAGATACCTGAAGGGCGTGACTGCGCCAACCCAACGGTTGCTGTCATCCGAGGTCGCATGCTCCACATCGGGATTTTTGCCGACATCAAAGACGGTTCCCCAAAAGTCGGGCACCAAATCTGATACTGATGATTGCCAATTCACTGAGTACTGCCCCATCGCTTCTGTTGCCTGGAAAAGGCCGATCCAAGGCGTCCGCGAAATGTGTGACGTCTGCGAGACGACCATGTTTAACACACACTGGGTTTGCGCCAAGTGCGGCTACTCAGTTTGCATAGTCTGCTATGCGGCCAAAATGGGGCATCCTCTTCCACCAACCCTGACGCTCTTGACTCGAACAGGGTGCAACTACTGCGTGATGGGCCCTACGAACTCGCTTCCACTGGGCTCTCGGCCTCAGCGAGACGTTGGCGGGTCGTGTGGAGCCGAGAGGGTATCATTAATTAACCAGCTGCCACCCGAACTGACCCCCGAGTTGAAGACATTGGTTGATGACGGCGATGAGGACGAACTGGATGCAGACCGGTCTAGAGAATTGCATGAATTGAGCGGCAAGTCATGTTCCAAAGTTCATCGAGCTGGTTTTTTAATTACATTCAGTGGCCTCAAATGTATCGGTTTTCAGGTTTTGCTTCATCTACCGCTAACCACTTATCACATTAAGGACTATTTTTGATGTAAGGCGAGGAGAAGTTGGAGAATACGAAGTTATTTAGTAACTACTTAAGCTTGTGGAACTAGAACTGATGTTACGCTCCGTCGCAATTACTCGAAGTTATAACGCACGCACTTGCGCGCTCATGCTTTCAAGTACTTTGGTTAACGTTGAAATGAACCAACAAAATCATCATCTATCTCATATTTATTTGTGAGTATATCTAACAGGAAAGTGCACCCCATTCGGTATAACGACGTCCTTCTGGAATAAATACAACTGAAACTATCGGGCATGGATAAGTATTCTCCTTTATCTTGCGCACCTCCATTTACGGGGCCTAAGCTACAGCTTTATCAATGGTGTTCCCTTAACTCTCAAAACGATTATTATTGCCACTCTCGATAGTGCCGTTCGAGTTATTCACTGGCTTTGAACTTTCTTGTCAACCTCTTTACTTGCCTGCTTAGCGGGTCGCTTTCCTTGTACTGGCTTCACACTTGATTCACTGGGACTCAATGATCTCTCCAGGGGATTTTTTGACAATTCACTTAAGCATAAGCATAGTTTCATCCTACAAGATATGGATAGTTTTATAATTATATGCTGAACATGGCATTTTCATGAGCATATGCATTCGTCCGTTATTCTTTCCCCCATTTGCTCTCCAGCCCCCATTTCTAGCCCGCACTCACCTTTCACTTCACCTGCTCCACTCGCCTGCTTCGAGTTTGAATCGGTTCCCACTAAAACGGCCGGTCCGCAGTCCTGCTCCTCGAGTTACGGCACATCTGCTATATTTGATGGCGTAATCACCACCACTTCCTCCTTCAATTCCAGATCCATCATTACCTCCTCCACTGCCTTACATAATACCAGGATTCCTTGTAACAATATAACATCCTGCCTAGCTTCTCGGGCCTCAAATTCAGTTTCTTCCGTTTCAACCACTAATACCACCAAATCCACAGCCCACCTAACTTGGTCTGTATGTACGGCCAACCGACAGGCACACAATCCTGGCAAACTGATTCTGACAAGTCTTCTGCCCCACGGCGCCATTGGTTCCCTTTGGCGTAGGCTCCATCGTCTAACTCAGCAGCAAGGCATCACGCTGCCTGGATGCGTCTGCAATTGTACTTCTATTAGTTCGGCCTCAGATCAAGATGTGCCCTTGTTAACCACTTCGACATCGACTAAACAAGAGACAATATTGCAGAACAGGTCAGATTTTTCGTCCTCCATCAGCCCTACCAACTCGTCGACCCATACTGGCACCATAAATCTCTCAGCTGACCTCATCATTACTTCCAGGGACAGAAACCTAGACCAACCACTACGCACCTATAGCTTCACGCAAAAGGAGATCGAGTTGGCCCGGGTCTTACATTTGGCAACACCGGCACTAAACGGTCTACCAAGCCAGGTCTCCCTCATCAGTGACAGCGACAGTTCGGATGTCACCTCTTGTTCATGGATCCAAGTACGAAGCTGTCTATCCAGACAGGGCCATCGGATATTGCGCCTGAAGCAGGCTATTCATCCTGGAAACCTGCTAGCGTTTCAGGTAGTCGAAGACCTGACTTCTTTCTCAACGAGTTGAATACCCATAGCTCTCATCTTAGAGACGAATTCTATCTTTTTCTGAATTACTTCTTACAATAAATATCCTATAAGAACTTAAGCATTTCAATTAAATTTCTATCTCAAGTCTTTTAGAGTGAGCCACATTTATTTCCATGGTTTACTTCCTATGAAATAGCATATCCTTACTTTCATTAAAAAAATTATTTTGAGCTTTTTGGCAGATTCGTCATTTTGCTATCCGTTTGAATAACAGCGCTTTGGAGAATTTGGGTTCCGCCAAATTTTTACTTTTAACACTGCACAAAATGCATGATCAATGATTGCAAGAGAGGCTTCCTCTTGTTTATATCTGATATGCTCCATTATTATACTCAAACGCATTTGAAGTAATGCTTCCTATTATGCAAAAATCGCACTCATTTATTTACCCTCTTTGCCCAACCTTAAATTGCTTTTTGAGCCTTAGACCCTTTTTTAGCCTATTGATGCAAGATTGCGCATTTCGGCTCCCCGATTGGTATTTACATAAGCATGCAATAGTACTTTTTAGCATACCAAAGCTCATTAACTGTGCTTTGGCCAGAGCATCAGACGTTACCTGATATGCTTTGATTAATGAATTTTACTTCCCCTAATGTTATATTTTAAATTCTGGCATTCCGTCTTATAGGCACTCCGTTTGACCCTATAATAAGCTGACTTGATCATCCCCATAATGTTAGAAAATAAAACCCAATGAGATTTTGGTACTATATTGAAAAATGGTTACTTCGGTGATCACTTGCCTGTTGCCATATAACTTTTCGACAAAAGGAGCGAATCTATGTTCTAAAGCTGCATTTGTCTTTTATTTTTTATCTTTTGAAGTCATATTGCCCACTTCGATTTTATGATCCTCCCTCTGTAGCAATACTATCTCTAAACTTTTTCATCTTTTTCAGGAGGGCGCGATACATTTTCTGCTGTCAAGTTTTATTTACTGTAGTTATGCCTAAAATCATGGTAAAATAGCCCACTATTTTGAAGGAGAAATAAACATACCTAAATATGCGATGTTCACCCTATTTCGTCTAATGTGATGAAGGACTGGTATTAGAATTTTCCCACAATAATATGAGTAGAGCTAAGGTTTCCTAAAAAGATGACCTAAAGTTCACTCCTTATCTCCGATGATTCCATGGATTAGTCCAATATTTCATGCAGTCTTCGGTTGGCAGACCTATCTTCGCCTTGTGTTGACACACGTCGCAAGTTGCGTTCTTCATCATTATGTAGTTTCTTTCCATGTTATTCCCATGGTTATCTGGAGTCTTATGTAATTTCCCCATCGCCACCTAGTGAATTTAGGTAATGAGCTTAAATTCAACTGGGCTTTTTATCTAAAGGCATTTCATTTCCCTTAAAGTCACTTGCTTGTTGGTTCGGTTTGGTAGCTATAAGGCTCGCAATTCGTATTAATGTAACACCCCTCACTCAATCTAAGCGTAAGCGACTACTCTTTCATCTCGATCTGGCTTATTTGTAGCCAATTTATCCGATCTTTTTATAACCGAATTACATTCCCTTCAACAGCATGTGGCTTTAATGTTCAAATATCCATGTTTATTTAGTGTTTATTTGCTATTAGAAGTTGGCTGACTTCGCTGTTGAAACTTGTTCTTGTTGTCAGGGGGACTTAGAAGAGCGCACATTGCCCGAAATCCTCTGCCTTAATAGGTATCATTATTCCCTGTGTTAGACAATGGGCTTGGTACATTTTCATATGTTTCGCCGGCATCGTAGTCGGAATCATCAAGGAGTCTTGGCATTCTCCGCACCAAGCTACAAACACGTCAGAGACAAGTGAATCCAATCCCTTTATCAACTTTCTGCCGAAACGGTTATTCTATAATTCCTCTTTATATGCTGGCCAATCTATCAACTCTTTACCCTTTTATCCAACTCCCGCCCTATCACAACTTCTCACTTGTTTACATTCCACTCGTCAAAATATGTGTTCTTTTGTGGCAAATCGAGTGTGAAGAAAAGTTGGGTTTCGAGGAATATATTTTTTTATTATTGTTGAGCTTATTTCCATTTCGAGTGAAGGATGTCTATAGAAAGCCAACACATGCTCGCTTTATACTTAACTTCTTCTCCAATCATAGTTATAAGACAAAGGTTGAAGTTTTAAAATCTATGAATATTTGGAGCAAAAGACTAGCCGATGTAGACCATTATGACAATGAACTGAATCGGCTTAAAATAATATTTCTCAAGAATAGCTATCCCCTAGGCTTGATTGAAAATAACATTAGACTAATAAAGAATGGCTTTTGAATGGTGAATATGTAAGGAGAGATAAGGAAACATTTTCTCATGTTTTTTCTTTACCTTCGTGCGTTCTCTCTAAAAGGATAAGTGAGCAAGTAAGGAAATGGGGAATCAAAGCGGTCTTCAAGGAAACTACAACACTTTCTTCAGTTATGCCCACTTTTAGAGAGAAAGTTGATCCATTATCCAGATCGGGTTGCTACAAAATAATTTGTTCATGTGGTCGCTTTTATGTTGGAGAGACTTGTTGTCCCATTCGACAAAAAGTGGCTGAGCACAAAAGCGCCTGCAAAGGCTGTTGGGTTCAAAGATCGGAGGTTGCTGAGTACAGGGCAAAAACGAGACACGAGATTCAATTGTCTCAAATTTGTCATTTTGCATAAAACTAGAGAAGCCATAGAAATAAACCGAATAGGAAATACATTGAATGTAAGGAATACTGGTAAGAAGATAAGTAAAAATTACTTGTGTTTAATTAATAGACTGAAGGAAAGAGAGGAAGTTGAGCCGCCTGTATTAAGGAGGCTATGCAACTAGTCTTCTGTTGACTTGGTTTTAAGATAGTCACTTCTCTGTACTTTTAGCTCACTCTTGCTCTCTTGCATTGAGACCAAAAACAAAAAATAGGCTCATCAACAAAACCAGACGTGTGTCCGACCTTGCGCAATCAAAGTGATGGTTATAACTTAAATGTAGAAAGGGGGAAATAGGGGTTATCAAGCCTAGATGACCGTTGTCTTGTGGTGAAATCGGCCTTCGAATCTCTTCACCCATCACTTTCACTTAAAATGGAAGTAGGCTCAATAAAAATAGACGTTTCTTTTTGCTGTCCTAATTACTTTGAGCCATCACTGCGGGTTTCGTGCATAATCTAACACAAACAAGCACATACCCATCAGAGACAGACACACTCACATGCATCGAAGTTGACATT